CCACCCTCATTGTAAAGGATTTCTTCCTCACTTCCTGCCTGAATCTCCATTGTCCTGCAAATAATGGATGCATCTAAATGTTATCCTGGTTAACATTTCTGTAATCCTTCCTAATGAGAGACCAGAATTTCATCCTGCCCTTTCGTTTGTTTTGAAATGGTAAAAATAATACAGTTCAATAAAAAGATATCAGTAGCTTTTTTTCCTCACACCAGAACAAGCTGTGATAATTGAATGCATTTCAGGGAGAAAATATGTTCAGTAAAAAGTGGCAATTTCAGAGTCATTCTTCTCGAAATATCCTGCTTGAGGAATAGGGCATCTTGGGGGAATCAAAAGACAAAAAGGTCAATGTAGCTACTTGAATCTTATACAGAAAATACAATTTTAGATTGGTGTGATCTAAGTTCAAGATTTGCTTGTTAATTATCTTTATTTCTTTGTGTTAATTAGCTGCGCTGTGTCAGGTATAAGAAAGGTTTCTTTGTCATAATTGCTACTAAATGTACCTATAGCTAAAGGTGATGATTTAATGGCAGTGGAGGTGCCGCCTTGACTTCAGAGAATGTTCCCTTCAAGGCAAGGTGAAGGGAAATAGATGTGTTAATGTTCTCGGTGCTGAACCTCTCTAATTCATGCCTTGGGTGCCACTCTTGGTGATACAGCACTTACCGTGAGCACTACATGAGATATTATGAGGAAGGCCAGGTGGCAAATTCCACTGAATGTGATGTCCTCCTTACAATATTCAATGCTAAAAGACTTTTCAACAGGAAAAGGGAAGAACTTAGGTAAGGATAACTACATTACTGTACAGCAACCCTGTGTTCCATTTCCCTCTCATTTATTGATTTCCACTGTTGAAAACAGTACTATCAAAGGGAAATGTTAATTTCTTGGGATGTTTGTCAGTTGATAGTCATCACAGAAGTTCTTAAAAAGAAACAGCATTCAGTTTCAAGGGTAATTGATTCAAAGTGGTAGCACCCGGGTGAAAAGCTGGATTAGTGTAGCTTGACCTCCCCTACAGTGCAGTCTGTAAGACTTGTTTGAAATAGTGACTGTTTAAGATCAGCTCAGCTTCCAGCCTTTACACTTTACCTGTTTTCATCCTCTGATTTTCAACAGGCAGAGGTTTAATCTCAGAAATGGCACCTGTTTGTTGATAGTTTTGTTTCTGCATCCTTTCTTCTCTTTCGGTACTTAAAAGTTGATAGGTCAGTGTGAATTCAAGCTGTAACGTTCTTTTTTGCTTGTAGAGAGCAATGTTAACCACAGTTTTAATGCAAAAAATAGAGCTTACACTGAAAGAGCGTTGTGTGATTGTTTTGTAGAAGGCAGTATATCATTTGTTTCGGTGTAAATAAAGGAGGAAAGCAATTGCCAAAATTGCATTCCTTACAAGCCCCATGCCAGTGCTAAAATGTAATTAATGTGTATAGTCATTTCTCACTGACATAACTTCTTACATTTTGACAGTGCTTCAGGGCCACTTCCCCCATTTATTTCTCTTCATGGAGTTTTTCACATTGCTCTGGTGATCTCGATAGGTGTGCAGGGAGATTTATTCATCCTGTTGGAGAATGGGACCAGTCTGTTACGAACCTCAGTGGAGCACATTACCTGCTGACCCGCAGTCTCGGGTGCTTTTTCATTTGGAAAACAAAGAAAAAGGAGAGGGTTGTGGAAAGCCTGTGGTCTAAAGCTTTCCACTTGAGTGGAAAGAGTTCACTGTTGAGACCTCTTCCGCTGGGGCTGTGAAATGTTCTCAGGTTGAAAACTCAGGTTATGAGACTCGGTGCATGCTGCTGCTGCTGCTCCTTCTGTAAAAACTGACTTAGAGCATATCACCTCTGTGATTTTGCTATGGGCCTCTTGAAGGTAGTGCAGTGGTGCTGGGGAAAGACTGCAACTGCACTGAACGTAGAAGTTGCTTCTGTAGCTCTGAACACAACGAGGCATCTGTGAACAGCAGAAACCTGAATGGAAAAGGGCTCTTGTACTGCGTTCGAGGTGGCATGGACTGCTTAGGAGTCTGTTTGTCATGAATTGCTCCTCAAAGCTTGAAGTGTTTATAAATGTGAGAGTTATGGTGATGGATGGCACAGAGGCAGCTTTCTGAAATGGGAAAGAGATGCTGTTTCCATGAGGAGGCTTACCTGGGGCTGCACAAGGGAAACTGGTACCTGCCCCTCGCCTCAAGGCTCAGGCAAGAGGCTCTGGGAACAGAGTCTTTTGCTGATGACTTTTCTCAAGGTGGGGAATATCTTCCTGGATTGTGAACCTTGCAAAGACTGGATATCAGAAAATAAAGAGAATAGCAGAGGAGAGAACTGGCTGTTGTAGGAGAAACGGAGGACTGACTTTTAGACACCTGATAAAGAAAGAGGAGATCTTGACAGGCAGGCAGGTAGTGTTGATTTCCTACCACTGGATATCAACATCCCTCTAATTTTCCCCCCTCTGTAATAAAACTGCCCTTGTTTAAACTCCTTTTCTTCGATCTTTTTTTTTCCCCTCCTTTTTTTTTTTTTAAGCAAGTGAACAGAAGTAATGATGTCTTGAGTATGGGTAGAGCAGGGAAATAGTGGGTTTTCCTTCATCTTTTATATACAGACAGATGTTTCAGATAACCAGTGGACATCTGAACTCCATATATATTGTGCCCATTGCTGAAATACTTGTCTTCTTAGTTACTTGTATAATATAATGGTGATAACTAGACCTCAGCATTTTGGAAGTTAGCAATACTACCTTGAGTGCAACATGTGTTGAGTTTGTTGCAAGTATGAAGAATGTAGTAATTTAGGAAACTCACAGACTGTCTTGATAGTAGCGTAGCTGTCCTGCTGCTGCTGTTCCTGAGCTACAGTTTTAATGGCACTTAATGGAAGTAGATGTTTAGTTACTTCTGACAGACAGTGGTCTTGACTGTTCTACTTCCTTCTACTGCTTGTAAAACACTAGCCTCAGGTTGGATGTAGCATGCAAGACGTATTGAGTTACATGACTGATGAGAAACTCATCGTGTGCACTTCCATTCATTTATTTTCTACTTACTCTGCAATGAAGGTTGGCCACAATGTTTATGTAGGTGTAATCTGCGTATATTGTCATTGTTGGGTTTACAGTTTTGTTGTTGTATCTGAGGCCTGGGAGTTTCACTGGGGAGGACAGTGTATTACAATTTCAGACTAACAATAAAAATAGAGAACCCATTTTGCATGGTTTTCATCTTGTAGAGTTCTGCACTTGCTCTGGAGGCTCTTGTGGAATCATAAATTAGAAGTAGTTTCACGATGGATTGTGTGCAGTTTTATGAAATCTTGTATTTGAATGTAATAAACTATTCTAATGTGTTAATTTTTCAACTAGAAACGCCTGAAAGCAGCTGAAGCAGAAAGCAAATTGAAACAAGTATACATCCCCACCTAGTGAGTATAATAATAAAGTCTTCTTGTGGAAGGATATACAGGTAAAATTGAACCAGTTACATGCAATTATGTGCATGATATTTTCTTAGTTGTCTTTTTAATTGTTACTTTCTTAGTATTTGTTACGTACAAGCAATATATAGAGATACAGTCAGAAAATGACAAGCTCTTACCGTGAGTGAAACCACTGTACTTCACTGAGCCCTTTGTCTTTGACCTACAAACTGCCTGGTCTGGAATGGTGAGAAGTTCTACAAAGATGATCAAGTGCTGTGAGGGCTGCTGATGTGCAAGAAGGGCCTTACCAGTTAAAAAGCAGGTTTTCCAGAACAGTTGCTTTCAAATCCATGTAGCACAATAGCTCCTATTTGTGTAAATGCAATATTTCAGAATAGAAGCAGTTGTTAACGTAGTTACGTCAAGTAAAATGAGATACTTTCCCCTTACAGTTTTATCTTGCTGATACAGTCTGTTCATCAGCTAGAGACAGGAGATGTTCTGGCTGTAAATTAAAGGTAGCTAGTACACAGCCTCAAATGTTTTATCTTTGACCAAGTCTTATCAGTGAAATTTGTTTTCTTCTGAGGGGGTTTTTGGATTTAAACTCGAAGCTATACTTGCTTTTGTTAACGTGTACTTCACAGAAACAATATATTTCTCTTTCATATTCGTAATTTCCTCAAGATTACGAGAAAAGGTTACAGATGATGTTCTTTTAAGCTTTCTGTGGGTATATTCAGTTTACATATATGTGAATTTACCATTGTTAGGAGTGTTCGTATCGTGGAATACTAGGATACCAAATGAGAGACTTGAAAAATCCACTGTTGTTTTTCAATGACTTGTAGAAAATGCATACAATAGAACTTCATTTCCATATTTCATGCAGACTTTTCTCTCTTAAACAGATTTAATAACATAAACAGCAGACTTATTAAATTCATTCTTTTAATCTCATCTCTGGAGAAATGTGAGTTTGGAAGCTCAGGTCTCTAATAAATGATGCCATTCAAAAAGAGCTGAAGCATCTAGTTATGAGTGTTCCCTCATTACCTCAGGGAAGTGGCTGCTTTAGGAAAACTGAAAGATGCTCAGTCTTTACAGAATGCTTTTTCAATATAATTTCTTTAGTCCATGTGGGCAGTTCAGGACTTCTGCCAATACTTTTTCAGTAGGGACTGGTTGCACAGGATGGCAAAACCTGTTTGGAAAATGTAGGATTTTTTATCTTTCTTATTGTCTTTTGTCCCCTCAAGACAAAATCCCCAGTTAATGGTATGAGGGTGGTAGGACTTGTCAAGTCTTTGGTAACTGTGCAATCTGGGGCACTGGTAGGCAAATGGATTGCTGCCGCTCTGCTTCAGGACTGCTTTATTGTATTTGAAATCTGAGTAGAATTGATTCTCAGAGCTCAATACCTTTCTGAACTTGATCGTGAGGTATTTACTGTAGAAGTAATGTTCTGTCTGCATTTCCGGTGAGTCCCTTTTAATTCATAGCTTCTCTGGAAGGCAGCCAAGCAACAAATCATAATGTGAGAGATGTAATCGTGTCTTGATCCGTTCTCTTGTACCTTGAGTCCAAGGTACTTGATAAAAGGGTATCTGGAAATTGTGTCTCTCACTGGATGTAGTGAAAAAGGAGATGGTAGGAGGCAGGCTTACTGGCATTTGGAGCAGAGACTTGGCACGCCAAAGGTTTCTTCAATTACTCATTTTAACTAATCTTGAATATATTTTAAGGCCACCTAAAGTAATGAATAATTTTGGGGTCAAAATGTATCCAGCCATGCATTGTATTGAGAATGAAGTTTGTCAGAGGGTAACTAACACCCAGAAAGTTGGAGTTTGGAAATATTGTACTTAACCTAGTGAGGAGTATATTGATTCTCTCTGAATTAAATGGCCTGTAAAGTCCTTCTTCACTGAAGTACTAGTAGGTAAAATAATACAATATAACTAAAAGAAGAAAATAATAAAAAGGCAAATCCAGTTCTTCAGCCTGCTCTGAAAGTAGTTTAGGACAGAACCCAGGCAGAACAGCCTGATGTTACACTGGTGAGCTTTGCCAGGGTTATAGACATGCAGCTGGTGGAAGTATGTGCTGCTGCTTGAAATACGAGGTATCAGAAGTCCTAACCATCTCATGCCATTTTCTAGGATGGACAGCCTTGTAGTATTGCAGGCAGTGTTACTACTCCTAGTTGTTACACTTCACCCAATGTCCATCCAGCTTCACCTTGTAACGACTTATTTCTTGACTGGAACCCCCTTCTTAAACTGTGCGCTATGTCAGGTATTGTTAATGCTTGACCTGACGCTTGAGCTTTCACTGGCTTGCCAAGTAGCTCAGACCATGAGAGAGCATTTCAGAAAGATCTAGGAATTTGAGCATCAAAACAGCTCTTCACATAGTAAGTCTTTGACAGTGCTGAAAATACAAGAGGAGTATAAAAACCAGCCATGTGGTTTAGAGCAGATTTTACAGATATTGTTACCACACATCAGAATTCCAGAATTAGATTGTTTGTTTTCATGTTGACTAAAAGATTGGTAAAAATCAATTTTATTCTTTTTTATTAAAGCAATAAACCAAATCCTAATCAAATATCCAACAACAATGGGAAACCTGCTGCAGTCAACGGAGCAATGGGAGCCTCATATCAGGCACAGGCGTCACTAATAGGTCGGGCTTGTGAAAGCTGCTATAGTAAGTAAAGTTTTCTTTCTTCTTTGATTGTAATAATTCAGTGGGGTTGGCTAATATTAATCTGCACTGGTTTTAACAACTTTGTGTGCTACAGAGGATAATTTTCAGTGACTTCAGTAGCAGAAATAGCTTTTAAGTTAGAGCCATTTTCAATATAGTGATGAAATGTCAATATTCAAATGCGCTTTATGATTTATTCTTTTTTAACAATTAAGAAAGCTGAAGCAGTAGAATATGATGGCCCTGATAAGTTATTCCTTTCCCTTCAGAGTACTAAATTCAGTGTTAATTTTGGTTCTCCTTCGAGGCTGCAGGGGTTTCAAGTTGGTTTGCGTGACCCTGTTGGACTTCTTGAAATAACAGCCTTCAGCATAGGTTATATGAGAGTGGATATTAAAAAATCCAGGAATGGCCAGACTGAAAAAGCCTTCACATTCCATTGCTGTGGCTGTGGCTGCCTGTCTCTCAAACAGGAATTAAATTAAAACCTTTGTTTTTCAAATCACATTTTTTTCAAGAAGAGTTTTCTTATGAAAGATGACAAAAACAAAAGACAAAAGGTTAAATTGTCTCCTGCAGAGTCTTTGCATGAGATAAAAGTACATCTTCCATAGACTTCAATAGGAGATGTGCTTGTCCTTTTCATATGGAGATCTTGACATATAAGTACTCTATATGACTTGAGCAAAAAAACAGATCTTAGTTAATTCTAGTAACAAGCAACGTAATAAACCTGGGTAAGATTAGAACTAGTAGAGGATTTACAGGACATTTTTGGTAGTCTGCTGGAGGAAAATGTCTTGGCAATATAAAGTCCTTGGTTCAAAATTAAATAGGGAAGCACTTTTGAAATTTCCATTGCAGTTGACTTCTGGGGTGCCTTTGTAAAACATAAATAAACAAAAAATTCAAGTTCTACTTCCTCCATGTCAAATGTATTAAATACCTATGTTATAATGCTTTCCTAATGCCATATATTATGGCCATATACACCCATCTATTACATCATTTGGCTTTATTATGTTGAATGTAGCATGCACCAATTTACCTGTGCTGTTTTCTTCTCCTTAGCTCCACAGTCTCACCAGTGGTATTCTTGGGGTCCTCCTAATATGCAATGTAGGTTGTGTGCATCTTGCTGGATTTATTGGAAGAAATATGGTGGCCTGAAAATGCCCACACAGACAGATGAAGATAAATTGTCTTCCAGCCAGCCTACAGAGGTAGGATTGTGTAGATAAACATTCCTAGAACGAAATGCAGGGTTTTCATGAGACTGCTGTGGTTTTAATATTTAATGATATGAATTTTTTATGTATGTGTTCAACTTCGATATTACAACGCTCAGTTTCTTAATCCTTTTCCTGTCTTTATTTCCCCTTGTCTTTATTTGACTATTAGATCAACAAACATTCATTTCGAAAAATTGGTGGACAAATGTCATCTTGTCAGTCAGATGGTGTGTTCCCTCTAAAATGCCATCTAGAATGGCATTATATATCCACCCACAATAGAATCATAGAATCACAGACAGGTTGGAAAGGACCTTAAGATCATCCAGTTCCAACTCCTGCCACGGGCAGGGACACCTCACACTAGACAATGTCGCCCAAGCCCCTGTGTCCAACCTGGCCTTGAACACTGCCAGGGATGGGGCAGCCACAGCTTCTCTGGGCACCCTGTGCCAGCGCCTCAGCACCCTCACAGGGAAGAGCTTCTGCCTTAGATCTAACCTGAGCTTCCCCTGGTTCAGTTTGAACCCATCACCCCTTGTCCTGTTGCTCCAGTCCCTGATGCAGAGTCCCTCTCCAGCATCCTTGTAAAGAAGAGTTCTCTTTTTTACAGCTTCATACATAAGCCCCAGTGCTTACACACGCTACATTATACATGCTTATACACGCGATGGTGTATATATATTCAGCCTTGTGAATTGATCCAAGTTGTGTCATTTTTAAAGTTGCAATTCAGTGTATGTGTTCTGATTTGTTGTTTGGTGTTTTCTTTGTAGGAATCCCACGTTCGGACTCACCTGTCCCGGCAGGCCACGCAGGGAACTCCAGTTCGTAACACTGGGAGCCCAAAGTCGGCGGTGAAAACACGTCAGGCTTTCTTCCTTCACACAACGTGTTGGACAAAACTGGCCCGTCAGGTCTGCAAAAACACCCTGCGGCTGCGGCAGGCAGCGAGACGTCCCTTTGTCCCTATTAACTGTGCTGCCATTAAGGCAGAATGTAAGATGTTTTTTTAACTCTTAGTTCTGTGTGCTGTGCTTCCCACCCATTTTTTTTTTTGCCTTTTAATTTTATTTTCTTTTTCAATAAACATTTCTTGTCTATACACTTTTGCTTTTTATTTTTCTTTTTTCATTTGTCCAGCATATCACCAGTTCATTGAATCAAGTCTGGCTGCCTCCAACAGATTTCAGGCTGGGGCAAAATTCAGATGAATTAAAAAGGGGATAACTATTACCTCATTCACTTACAAAGAATTCTCATTTATAACAAATCCGGGGCAGTGAAGGGAAATCAGTGCTGTGACATAAAAACCGTGCTTCCTACTAGGCAGTGTGAAAGTAGTTTGCTTTCATATTGTGTGTTGATTCTTTCGCTGAGCAGAAAGCATAAATCTGTACATGTTTTACTTTTCCTCAGTGGGGTTGGTGAAGGATTAAGGAGTTGAGGATGCAGAAGAGTTTAAATCTGGCCTGTAATCCAGCCCTTACTTGCTGTGGTGATCAGATGGTGGTGATAGCCATGATTATTATGACATCATAGTTGCATCTTTGTTTCTTTTTGCCTGTTGCAGTTTTAACTTTCAGTTTTAAATAAAACTCTATATTATGTTTGTTCTTTTTGTAGCCAAAATAGAACTGATAAGTTCACTAGTTACGGATTGTTCTCTTTATGTGCATATGTGTGTAAGTTCTGCTGCGAAGTCACTGCCTATTTCAGCAGGTTTTGTGTCTATGCTGAGAGCGTTGTTTTACTGCTTGTGCTGTCTGGTTGTGTTTCCCAGACTTTCATAGATGCAGTTCTTGGAGCAGACACTTGGTATTCCAAGATGAGCTGTGCTGGCTCATCATACTGTGAATTGTGTTAGAATTGAAGAGACCTTTTTAGAATATTAGATGATGGGTTTATAACCATGTTTACTAGATTAAGGCTAAATATTTTCCCAGCATATTTAACTGGGATGCAGATGATGTCAGTGTTGATTTAAAGAAATTTACTCCATGGAGGCTTAAGATCTGGTTTTGGGTAATTATTTTCCCCTTATGTACTTTAACACCAGGCATCCTTCACATGCAAACTCTTGACCTACTTCTGCAGTCATCCAGAACATGGGGACTATTTCTGTTTGTTGTCCTGGTCTTCAGTTGTCCTGTTGGCCATTTTCTTTCTTCTTTCGAAGCTATGTAAGTCATGAGCAGCTTTTAGATATAAGGAAATCATATGTCCAAGTGGGTTGTACTTTATGGAAGAAGTGTGTCTAAGGCTGGACAAGGATTATATTTTAAATCCTTAATACAAAATAGGAGGAGAGGTATTTTCTGAAAGAATTGCACCATTTAATGTGTGTAATTGGCACTGATTTCTGCTGAATCATGGAGTTCCCTTGAACCTTAAATCTTTTTTTTATCCTTATCCCTGTTTTTTCTTCCTCACTGCACTAACTCAGTTTGAAAGAAGACGAAGCTTTAAGGAAGAGAAAAAATAGAAGGAAAAAACCAGTTATAAATATATAAATAGCAGAAACCAAATGATACCTAATTTAACTTGTGTTTGTGTGTACATATACATACGCACACACACTCTGTTGCTGGCATTGTCTCTCTTTGTGGAATTGTATAGTGCTCTTTGTTGTTGGCATATCCTTACTCTAGGAAGGACTAGGAAGTAAGTAAATTTAAAGATAAAACTAAAGGTTTTCTAGTTTTGTTCTTGTACTTGTATCTGCTGACCTATGTTGAGTGCACACTGTAGTTTTAATGTTAGAACTAAATAGGCACTCTCCTCCTGAGAACACCTGGATCCTTTCCTAAGGAGAGCTTGATGCAAGTCATTCTTAAATCATTTCATATTTAAATCTTTTCATTTTAAAATCTTTTCATTTTAAAATCTTTTCATTTTAAAATCTTTTCATTTTTTGTTGAGCTGCTTCATTAATGGTGATAATTTCAGATGTTGAATACCACTGAATAATTACAGTATTGAATGAATGGCTGTTGGTGTTCCGGAAGTGACAGCCATTCTTAGGTAATAACCTGACCAGAGTGACAGGTCACCCATGATGTGACATGGCATGAGGTGGTTACAACATCCAAGAACTGATTGGGGATTTCTTTTCCATGTTGGTGTGCTGAAACTTGAATCTAATGACTGCTTAGCTGCTTTGTCAGACTCGCCTAACCCTGTGTGTACCAAACCAGTGCTTCAAAACGTAGCTCTATATTGCAGTAGGCACCAGACCAACACTCAGAAGCCTTAAAATCTAAAGACAAGGGGTGGTAGCGCATACCAGGTTTTATGTTGTCTTAGTCTTACGCAGTTTGTTGTAGTGCCAGGTTGTAAATGAAACTCATTCCCAGCTCTGAGAAAGTTGGGAAAAGCCAAGTGAGCTGGCTCGTAAAGCAAACTGATGTTTGCATTCCACCCAAATTCTGCAGGTACTTCTTTTGTCTTGGAAGAGCATGGAAGAGAATCATAGGGATAGAATGCTCATCTCAGGCTCAACTATCCTTTAGGCAAAACGAGATTTCAGAAAGAAAACATCTTTATTATTGTAATTCCACCCACAACAGCTCTTTCAGCCCATTATATCCACTGGCAGAAAACAAGGCCCTTTCTATGTTCTTTAGTCATTCAGTTAGTGCAGATACTTAGATTTTTCTCCTTAATGAGCCACGTAGCATGACCCCTGCTCTGATGCCAGCAGGAGCTAGAGGAGATGATGCATTGAATCTGGGGATGGCCACCAGGAGGTTGAGAGGGCATGGTGTTTCCTGCTTAAGAGCACAACCTATCATGGAAACTTCAAACCTTGTTCTGCCTGGAGATAATAGACTCGCCGTAGGTGTTGGCAATAAACTTGTCTGATGGATTGTTAGAAATAGTTAGAATTGGTGAACTGTTTCAGTAAGAGGAAATTCTCATGCTCTAATTTAGGCAAAATACCTTCTTTTTAGTTTCAAAGTTAAGCAAAACTACCCTGACTGTGGAAGGTCTCTGAATTAGAGGAAGCCAAAGTGGGCATTCTTCTCCAGGCAGTCGCTGGGAAGATTGGGTCTGTTTCCAGCTTATGAGCATGTTGATGCACGTGAACCTTCTTACTTCAGCACTGGAAGGTTTTTGAGGGATCTTTTTCCCTTGCTCAGATACAGTTTTACCATTATAACTCTTACATATTAATTATAGTAATTTAAATTTGGGTAACTGCACTCCATCTGTGTAGACGTGATTGTCCAAATGTTTTCAGTGGATGCTAATATATGATCTGTCTAATACGGCTATCTGGAAATGGGTATACCAGTCACAATCAAAACTAAACATACCTTTCAACCTGCAGATTTAATAACAAGTTGGGTGCAGCACTTGCTTCTTACAGGCTGGATTGATAAAGACAAGTGAAAATTAAGTAGAATATGCAAAATCTTACTGATCTGTCTTGTAAGCACACAGCCTGTGTTTTACTGACATCAAACTACCCATTCATCTGAGGTGAGTAACATTTACGGGTATTAGTTCACAAGCACTGTTTTCCATCCTTGATTTTGATAGCTACAGAAGATGTTTTGGCTGCCACTGGGATGAAAATATTTTCTCTGCTGTTGTCTTTGTATACAGTTTATGAATACATTTTATTAGCCAGTAAAATAATTAAAAGACTCTTTCTTTCACACTCTTGCTCTCTCGAAGTTGTAAGAAAAATACAATTTGGGGAATACATAGAGCACAGTATGTTTATTATCTGAATTTTGATAAAGAGATGATGGAATGTCAAAGAGGAATAACTCTTCACATCGGTCTAAGCCTTAGAGACCTATAAACCTAGTTTTTTAAAACCGGGAAATCATTAAAACCCCCTTTCAAATCTAAAAGAACAAGCCTCATTCACTGTCATCTTCTCTACAACATTCCTGACTTCATTGACCTCTAATACCCACAACAGTCATCCCTTTTCTAGGTTAAGAACTTGGTCTGTTTAGAACTATGTGAAGAATCTGTTTCCCACTGTGGTTTGTAATGTTGTTCCCTGGAGTTTTTCTAGTTGTACTGTATCCTCTCTAGGGTTGTAGTACCCCAGGTTACAAGCACTTCAAGAGACAGGTCTTTCATAATTTTAGTCTCACATGTTTTCTATTTTTCTATCACAATTTGTAATACTCTTGATTTTACTCTCAAGTGACCACCCTTCAGTATTGTCTTGATGTTTTTAGAACGCTGTTAACACTGACTCCATGGATTTTCTTCTGCATGGTAGTGGTATAGAACTCATCATTCCATCTGTACATTAGCCTTTTAGCCCTTTTTGCTGGTGCTGCTGATGTACTTTGCCATCAGTTTTAGCTTATTTATGCTCAGGGATTTCTTATCAGGAAACTTTAGCTCTCTGATCACCTCTTTTCCTGATCTTTTAAATGTTGAGCAGCACAGATCCTCTGGGGATGACACAGACAATTAATTCTAATCCCTGAAGAAAACCCTTCTCTTTTACCTTGGGACACCTCGACAGTCTGGTGACACCATTTGTTAAGAGTCATTTGAAATGCCATGTTGGATGCCGGATCAGCTGCATGTGTACATGTCACAATTCCTTCAGAGGGTCCTGGAAGATCTGTGGCACTTGCAGTTACTGGTTTACAAGACATATAGGTAGGAAGGGACCTCTGGAGGTCTCTAATCCTATCCCCTTCATGTTCGTGTGCTCATGGGCCTTTTGTGCAGGTGAGATCTGTGTATCTCCCAAGGATGGAGACTCCACAGCTTCCCTAGGCACCTCTTCCAGTGTTGGGTCAACCTCACAGTAAATAATCTTGTCCTTACATCTAACAGTGATTTTCCATCTGCCAGCTTGTGTCTGTTGCCACAGACAGAAATAGTGTGTTGTCCTATCACTGCATACCTCAGAGAAGGGTCTGGCTGGGTCTTCTCTGTGCTCTGCTGCTCTGTTGTTACCGATGGCCATCAGGTCCCCCGTTTGGGCTTCTCAAGGCTGACCAGACCCACTTCCCTCAGTCTCTCTGTGTGTCCTTGCACTCCAGACACCAGCTTGGTGTCTCCGATAGCTGGACTTGTTCCAAAAGCATCTCTTGTAGTGGGGATCCCAGAACTTGACACAGGGTCTGGACATGGTTTCCTGCAGTTGTCCCTCTTGTTGCAAGGTCACACCACTGAATAATGTGAGAGCATTAAACATGTTTTCCCTTTACAAGGTCTTTGTTGGCTCCCTTCGTGTTTCTACATTTAACTGTATGCCTCTATAAATAGCTCAACTGTTTTGCCAGTCTGCAGACCTACTTACTGAAGAATGTTATCACACTTGTCATGTTTTTGTTCTCTTGAAACAAGACCAGCTTAAGCACTAGTTAAACACCAGTAGAGTACATGCTCAGTGATTCCCATTTGAATGAATTACACCTTGTCTGGGTAATCTGTTTTTATTCATTAACCAGTTTGTTTTGTGGTACTTCCTGTGGACACTTTGATGTGACACAGTTCTCATCCTTCCCTCACCAAGGCGTGTTGGAACTGAGCTGCTTTATGTTCTTCTGCAGTGAACACTGATGTAAAGAATGTACTCAGCTTTTTTTGCCATGACTTTGTCTTGCATGTTGTCCTCACACCTTGATCATCTCCTATTGCTACAGCACTAGCATACTTTCTGCTTTTGATATCTTTGAAAAGATACATTATCAAATATTATACTCCTTTATTTTAGGGTTGGGTTTTTTTCTCATAGCTTCCACTATTTCCCTGACCTTCCTGAGGTTTTCGTTGTTCCTGTGGGAGCCCATATTTGATTTTAGGACTTGGTTTTCATTTTGTTTTTCACAGCTTCTACCTAAATTTTATGCTGTGGTTTTACACTTGAGAGTGATACACAATCCAGCTTTGATGGTTCTCCTTACATAGTGCGTAGCGAGCATAAACTGTGCGACATCTTCTATGGCAGTACCATATTGTGGGTTAAAGTTTGCTGCTGATAAATGTATTCAGCTGTTTTAATAGGTAGGTGTGCTTTGGGATACCCACCCAGTACCTTTGGTGAACGTGCTTTGCCTCCAGCATGGAACTTGTGCTCCCTTTGCAGTCTGTACTCTCAGTCAGCACATTAATACCTCATCATGATTCAGTGGCTTTTTTTAGAGCACAGACATGTAGATGGAAAATTTTCTTGCTAATTACTTCTTAAGCGATGCTTTACTGCTCCCAAAGTAACTCTAAAGTAGTTACTGCTTAGTCTGTGCTTATTTTACTAAGAGAGACAGTGGAGACACATCATTCTACTCTGTCACTTAAAACATTTCAAGTGTTGTGGAATATTACATCTATTCCAGGCACCAGGTTCAGTGTAGTTTTTGATACTGAGAACAGTATATTTTGTTATTAAGCTAAAATAATCGAGTACTTCATGTACTCAGCATTGGGGCTCTGGAGCCTTTGGGCTGCCCAGACACCAGCTAGTGTTTCCAGAATTTCAAGTAAATCCCTTAATATACTGAAATGAGCTTTGCATTGTCTGCTGCATTGGAAACATCTGTGAACATACTGAAGTACTTATTTCAGTCATTGCTGTGGTTTTGTGACCAGTATGCTTTTTGCACAGAGCTAGATAGAATGTACAGAGAGATTGCAAATTGTCCTGTATAGTGTCTTCCCCTCTTCATGTAAACGTGTACTCCCATCTCGTGTGCTGGAATGAAGCAAACAGGAACATTTTGGTAAGACACAAGGCAGAGACAATGTGGATTTACAATTGCCATCATCTATTTAGAATATCTAGTTCCTGTAAATCTTGTTAGAAAATGCAGTTCTGCATGTGCTTGTGTGAAACCTGTACAAAGGTGAACATTCAGGTATGTATATGTGGGAAGCAATCCATGTGAGAGAATTCGAGAGCTACAGAGGCAAACCTAGGAATGCAGTTTTGTACATAACAGAATACCTCTGTTCTAGGGATACTGGAAGCTCTGCATGGGGATTACTTAAGTGCTTTTGGAAGACATGTAATGCAATCATTCTGAGCAGTTTAAAGAGAGAGAGCATAGTTCCAGGAGTCTTGAAACTATTTACTGAAGCCTAGTGAATTGTGAATTTTTGCCTTACGTTGATTGACTCCGCTGTGTAAGCGAGAACTTCTTCATAGTAACACTTACATGTTTGGGGCATTTAGACAGATTCTCTACTTATGTATCTGCAGTGCCTTCAAAGGTGTGAGCTTCTAGTTGCAGCAGCACATTTAAGGCAGTTACTGAACTACTTATTTTCGTTGACTGTCTTTGAGACCTTTTTGCTTTGTGAGACTTGGTTACAACTGACCACTTTGTTCAAAAGTTGATAGTAAAGGGTCTTTTTTGGTTGTTTGTGTGTTGGGGTTGTTCTCGTTAAGCTTCATCTTGCTGTGATAGCCCCTGTGTTCTCTTTTACTCAGGATTACATGAATCGCCACACCAGGTGAATAAGACATGACCAAAATCAGTAGGCTCAGCTTTAAATTCTTACATCTGTATTACTCCATTTATAGCCAGGCAAGCTTGTAGAAAACAAGGAAGAATTCAATGTAAATTATGTTTAATTTACTGCTTTTATGAGCTGATTTTATTTTAATACTCATGTTTTCATGTTCCATTTGCCTGGCTGACTGTCTCCAAAAAGACTTTGTAAGCAAAAATTGCCATCACATTTGTGTTACAACTTAAATTAACTTGAAACCAAAAAAATAACATCAGTTGCATGAATGAGGACCTGGCCTGCCTTTAAATATCCATCATTATGAGCATTGATGGAGGAAAAAGAACATGTGCTAAAAGGAAAAAAGAGATTTGTGGTGTGTCCTAATTCTATTTGTGATGTTGAAATATTGAAACTGGGTTTTATTCTTTAAACTCCTCAGATGCAGATCGACATTGTGAACTTGCTGGAAATCCTCTGAAGATAAAAAGCACCAGAAAACCACTGTCATGTATTATTGGGTATTTAGGTGCGTATCTGCCTTCAGAGAACACTCAGTATATACTGAGACTTGAAAATCTTATACACATAGAAGGGGAGATTAATGCTTTTAGTAACAAGCAAACTATAAAGTTAATAAATGAATGAAAGTTCTGGTCCTCTCTCAGTTGCAGAACTTGGGGGATGGAGGCAGAAGCCCTTCTGCTGCTGGCTTAAAATGACAGAGTAAAACCTGGTGTAATTTAGAATGTGAACATTAGTCTTGCAATCTAAATGAGTGGAAATAAGCATTCAAATTAGGGAGAGACTCGGTATGCTCAGTGCTGCTGTGCTGTGCCCCTTGAATCCACTTGCTACTAGTATTCCTGCGTGCTTAAAAGGAGGAGACCTCAGTCACGCTAAGGCACTGATCTTTTAATCTGATGATGTGATTTTAAAAGATGTAATGAAATCAGTGCTGAGATCACAGCCAACAGGACAAGGAACTCGTGTAAGACAATGGGGAGAGGAGAAATCCTAGGAATTTGTGGTTCCTTATTAAAACAAAAGTGAAAATTGTCCTTTTTGCAAGGAACTACCACTGACTATAAACATTCACACAGGCATGTAAGAGGTGAGATACCCCAGAGGCTTTCTGTTAATCCTCAAATAGAGATCAATCCATTGATAGGGAAGCAGTGAAGTGTATTAATCCCAGTGTACATCAGTGAAGCTGAGAGTAGAGCTCAGTCTAGATGTTTTGCTTGAGATTTCAATCAACAAGAGGGGTTTTTGTAGTAGAATAAAGGGAACAGCAACAGTCTCTTGACTTGTTGAAATAGAAATGAGCTGTTGATGTGGTGGTAACTGTTGTTCCAAAACATCGGTTTTAACAAAATCCAAACTTCAGAAAACTGGATAATGAAAAATTGATGCCAGCTCTCACTGAATGTTGATTCTTCCTGCCCTGGAGTTTGAGAGAACAGCTGGTGATAATTCCTACAGGCATCCCAGCTGTGTGCATTGCATATGTTGTCATTGGGCCAATGCCAACCTCATGAAGTTCAACCAAGCCAAGTGCAAGGTCCTACCCCTGGGTCAGGGCAATCCCAGGCACAGCTAAAGGTTGGGCAGAGAAGAGATTCAGAGCAGCCTGAGGAGAAGGACTTGGGGGGTGTTAGTTGTTGAGAAACTGAACATGAACCACTTCAGTGTGTGCTTGAGCCCAGAAACACCCGTGTGCTGGGCTGCATCAACAGGAGTGTGAGCAGCAGGTGGAAGGAGGTGATCCTGCCCCTCTGCTCTGCTTTGGTGAGACCCCTCTTGCAGCACTGTGTGCGGTGCTGGTGTCCTCAGCGTAAGAGGGACATGGAGCTGCTGGAGCAAAGCCAGAGGAGGCCATGAGGATGATCAGGGGCTGGAGCACCTCCCGTATGGAGACAGGGTGAGAACATTGGGGCTGTTCAGCCTGGAGAAGAGAAGCTGCGTGGAGACCTCAGAGCAGCTTCCAGTGTCTGAAGGGGGCTACAAGGATGCTGCAGAGGGACTCTGCATCAGGGACTGGAGCGACAGGACAAGGGGTGATGGGTTCAAACTGAACCAGGGGAAGTTCAGGTTAGATCTAAGGCAGAAGCTCTTCCCTGTGAGGGTGCTGAGGCGCTGGCACAGGGTGCCCAGAGAAGCTGTTTCTGCCCCATCCCTGGCAGTGTTCAAGGCCAGGTTGGACACAGGGGCTTGGAGCAACCTGCTCTAGTGGAAGGTGTTCCTGCCCGTGGCAGGGGTTGGAACTGGATGGTCCTTTGGGTTTGGGTTGGTCCTTTCCACCCCAAACCAGTCTGGGATTCTATGATTCTATGTGTATGTGGGTGAAGGTTCTGTAGATTAACAGTGCAAAAATATACCAGGTACCTGTGGAGTCTGCTTAGCATTTGACTATGGGAAGTTAAGGGATCCTACTACAGTTGAAGGCAAATAACGCATGTTCCAGGGGTATGAAGTGTGCTCAGTGGAGTTAAATAGATGCATCTGAATTAGTTGTATGAAGTTGACTTGTTTGCCATTTAGCTTGGGTTTGGTTTTTTGTTGTTTGCTTATTTATTTGGGATTTTGGCCTGTTGCAGTGAATAATTGATGCTGGCGTGATCCTCCTCACAGAATCTGGTGTCGTAGATTACGCAGGAGTCATTTGTTTTCCTTTTTCAAATGCCTTCCATGCCATTCCCACAGACATTTATTAGCAGACAGTTAACCTTGTGTCTCAGGGAAGCGCTGCTTCCAGCCCTACTGGTAAGGCAGGATTTCAGTGCCCTGCACACCCTGGGTCACTGCTTCCCTTTATCCCTGTTTTGCTTCCTAGCTGCCAGTTCCACAGCTGAGGTAGGTTGAGCATTAAGAGTAGGCTCTGTCCAGTTGAGAGCTGGGGGTAATCCCCTGTAATCTCTGCAGTCATTGCTGTGCTTTACTAAGCAAACCCCCTAAGGTGCAAGCCCTTGCTGATTGAATGTCCTATATTACCTCTGAAGTATGAGGAAACCAGACTAATGTTTCCAGCTGGGATGCATACTGAGGAGATGAGATGAGAGAGGGAGGTGCAGCTGCTGAAGCACCTCTGGAATCCAGGATGCTTATTTAAGTGGCTAATAGGAGACTTCAGCTTCCCTTTGTTTGCTTTGGACTTTTGATTCATTAGTGGAAATGGGAGCTTTTAGAGTTGTTCCTGCATTTGCTTGTTTGAGGCTGCAACCTGGTCTTACTGAAAGGGTTCCTAATGTGTTGTTCAAGTGTTGCTTCTTATCTGTATTTCAGAAGTGCTCATGCAGTCTGAATCTGGCCAACTGGTTATTTGTTGTGCAGGTAAAGGGGTAATATGGGTTATTTGGAGTTCTCTGAGTAAGCAGTGAGGAGATTTTCAGTGAAGTACTAGACAATAGAACAAGGATCAGAGCAGCAGCAGGAACTAAAAGAACCCTAATTACTATTATTCCATAATACAATAATACGATAGGATAATATAATTCAAGCAAAACCCTCTGGGGTGTGATGAAGCAACTATTAGAAAGTGCTAATCTAAAGCATGCAGTCTGGATGTGGAGGACAAGTGAGTGTAAGGGTTAAAGATCCCCACAGGAACGGCTCAATCCATTGGAAAGTGGTCTTGGCTTGTTTCAGTTTGTTTCTAGAACCTTTACAGGAGAGCTTGGGGTGGCTACTTTCCTCTAGAGCAGAGGAGAAAGGACAGGCGTTGTGGTTAACTGATGGAGGACTAGTGACCTCCAGCTGAAGGAAAGTCCAAGTAAGGAAATGCTGATTTTTAAACTGTTTGCTCACCCTAACAATATAAAATCACATCTCCTGTTCGCTGTGGACAGAAGGATTTATGAATTCTTATATGTTCATGCAGCTACTGGGATGATTGTGATTGCTGCTGGAGCTCTTTGGCAAATAAGATCATATCTTAGTGGTGTTAGCCCTGAAAATTAACCATTTCCATCAGAAAATGGGAAAAGATTGCCAGATGAGCGTCTTAGAATCCTAATTCCAGTCATCTTTAGCAAACAGTGCAAAACCTTTCTATTTCAGTTTCAAGTTTTGCTTCAGCAATCAGTGTTCATAACATTAAGCACTGCCTCTGATCCCATTTTAGTAAGAAAGCGAAGTAGAACTTGTTCTCTACAGCATGGAAAATGGGTGAGTGCCTGGTGTTCCTAAATTGTATTGCATGAAAAGCAGATGAGTAATGTGGTGAATGGCAGTAAAAAGCTCTCATCAAAGTAAGTGGTGAGAGGATGGGCGACCTCAAACTTGCCCTCACACGCACACCCAATACTGTACCATAGCTCTGCACTCTTTTAATACCTGCCTGTGTATTATCCTAATCTATTTGTTCTTACCTGACCCTCTTGAAGCATCTTGGATGAGGGTGTTCATGCTTTAAGAGCATGACTCTGAGCTCTGACCAGATCAGTGGTTAACAATTAAGCAAAGTCTCTTAAAATGTGTAGATTGTTGGTGTTGTATCCTCCTGGCTTGCTGTTCCCAGTACAGCCAGCCAAGCCACTGTGGCCATCCTACTTAATCATGGAATCACAATGGTTTGGGTTTGAAAGGACCTTAAGATCACCCAGTTCCAACCCCCTGCCATGGGCAGGGACACCTCACGCTAAACCATGTCTCCCCTTTAAAGGTTATCACGACTTCCTATGGCAGCCCCAGCCAGTTGCTAGTCAGGGTGGGTGGGCTGGTACCTGCAGGCTGCCTGTGAAGGCTTGCCATGGGGGAGCCTTGGGTCTCCGACTTCCTTGTCATTTCTGAAAGAGGAAAAATCTACTGTTGTGGTGGATTCTGATGGCATGCAATGGTTTCTGTTTCTCTTGCTTGATAGCTGTGAATGGCAGAGGCTGGAGGGCTTCCTCACTGGATCATCACCTGGCATCGCTTCAGATTTTGCATATTCCCAACTTCTGTGCTATATTTTATAAACAGAAAAGCAGAAGGAAGCACTCTTCAGGAGGTGGAAACCTGCGCTACGCATGGGAAAGTGCTTCAGTTCTGCCTTCTGATCTTACTCCCCTTGGGCAGCTGAACCTCCTGATCCCCCCCCACCTCTGCCCTTATGTTCTCAGCTCAAGGGTCTCCTGCTCTGCCCTGGGGAGAGACTGGGCAGTGAGGCTGCCAGTGCCTCACAGCCTGCGTCAGAGGGAAGGGACCTGCCTTAGGTCTCTGACTTCCCTCCAAAGCTTGGGTCTGTCTGAAGTCACCTGCAGTGGTGGCATTTTGAACCTGAATGTGTGATAGGAATAAGTTAATGGGTTCCGCAGATCCCTGGTGCAGCACAAGTAGACTCTACTGAGGCTTCCAATTGCCACTTTTATCTGGCAGATGACAGAAATTTCCATACAGCTCCATCAGCTTTTGGCAAACAAAGCAGCTGCCACCCTGACGTGTGCTGGCCAGATGCACTTCACTGCCTTTACTATAGCAAAATGCTTTGATTTGCTTGCTAAAACAACGTGTAGGTGTGTAGCTCCAATACAAACCTCAAAGGTGTAGGAAAATGTAAACAGAAACCTATTCCAGATTGATCTGTATTATCTCTTCAGCCTCTGAAATCCTCACGCATCTACACCATAGTGCTAACTTGTGCAATCTAAAGTGAAATAGATCTTCCTTGCTTGGAGGTATGAAGAATTGTTATTTAAGGTCCTGTAAACACACTCATGCAGAAGAGCGTGTTTCTTTGCTTTCACTGGAAATTGAAATGTAAATTTAGTATGTTGGATAGATGGGTTTTATCTATTTTTTAAATAAATATGTCTCATTTCTCTCTCTGTCTTTTGTCTCAAATAGAGATTCATCCTGCAGTGAAACCAAATGTAATCAGGTCAACACCAAGCCTTCAGAGTCCAAGTGCAAAACGACTGCTTGCACCCTCCAGTCACTCTTCATTAAGTATTTTGGGGAAAAGAAACTACAGCCATCATAATGGCCTTGATGGTATGTGAAGAAATAGCAAAGAAATATTCTTTAAGTCTCTGAACTCTGGGCCTGAGATGCCATTAAGTAAGGTGGTACAGACCAACAGTAATGTAAGATAGGGACAGCATGCCTATAGCGTTGATTCTTACTGCAGTGAATGGTGGTGCTTATTCATTGAATGTGGGTATATTAATGCCATCTCTTAAAAAAAACCCCTCCTTTTAGCATTTTTCTTACTAATCTTGATATAAAAGGACAAGAAACGAATAAATTTGGTGAAGACAGTGATGCGACGTGTTTTATTTTGGTTTGTTGCATTGCATTTTGATGTGAAGAAGAATTTTGCAGATATATGCAAGACTTTTGGCATTACTCCATGTGGAATTGCTTGGTATGTACTGGACCTCCTATTTACAGCCAATCTCTTTGCTAGCATGTGAGTTCTAAACTTAGTCTGAATTCTCAACAGTGAGATTGGCAATAGAGGGAAAATAGCTGCTAACATCCAACGACCTTTGTCACAGACTCAGGTAATAAGGACTGGTGGAAGGCAGAGCTCCATAGACAGCAACTGTCCCTGCATTTCTACCACTCGTGGAGGAGAAAGCAAAAGGGTGTCACAGAAGTAGAGGAGAGGCTTTTCCTGTACTCTGTGCAGCACCAGAGATGATGTTTAAGTCTCGTGTATTCAGCCATTTCATTAGACTGTGCTGCAGAGGGAGAGCAAATATGAAGCTGTGCAAAAGCATGATGGAAATTTGTGGGTAAAGCTAACTTTTCTCAAATAGCCTTTGTTTTTTGTTCTGAACAATGACCGTGTTTTACTGATTCTTTCATTAGTTTTTATTTTAATCGTTACCCAAACTAAAGATTTTCAACTGTGAACAGTTTTACCTCATGTTCCAATAAGAGGAGAATCCAGCAGGACATACTTTGTTTGCACTGAAAAGAAATGCATGCATTGCTGAACTGTCTTCCTGTAAGATGTAACTTCTATAAGCTATTACCTTATTTGTTCCGTAATTGAATGAGGTTGTTGAGATTAGAAATCTCAAAGAAGTTAGGCTCTGAAACAGACTGTTCAGGGCACAATCAGCACAAAAGAGGTTTCATGCTTCACAGGATGTGGAAATGAGGTAGGAATGAGAGGGACTTGCCTTTTAGACAAGTGAATAGTAATTATATTGCAAGTAGAGGAAGAAAAACTCAATCCATTACCCATCATCTTCTCATAACGATTCTGTCCTTGCCAACACTCTTTGTATTTTGGAGTGAAATTGCCTCCTGTACGTTTAATAACACCTAGATAGAAATCACCACATACTTTGACAAAAGGCAGGCATTAAGAAGACAGGATTTCTTGGACCTCTGATCAGAGATGCAGTAGGCAAATCACATGCATGGGTGGCCACACAAGCTATTTGGTGGACCAAGATGACATCCATATAACTTGTACTTGGAAGAAAGTGATGACATTAATAGGCATAGCCATAAATGTTGAATTTCTACTGCAATCGTGGAGTGTGAAGTCCTGCATGGATGGTCTGGTACTTGCTGCATGGGAATGTGAACAAAGGCTGCTTCCCCCCTCCACCAGTGCTGGCTGTTAGCCTGAACTCTCCATATGAGCTTTAAGTGATGAATGACTTCCACCTGGAAATAAAGATGATCTATTTCTTCTGCAGAGAAGGCTGTAGCAATACGCTCGATGTAAAGGTTATGATGATGTCCCTGTAAAGGAGAGAAGCTTGAAAGTCTTGAAAACTTTCTCCTACTTAGTACAGATTTTATCTTCAAAGTATAAAACCAGCCATTAGCCACACTGATTAGATTGGATCAAACAGCAAACTGTGCTAAGGCAATTTGCACAAAGTAAAATCTAATTTGATAAATCAGTATTGATAACTGTAATTCATTGCTTCGGGAGGTAACGATTGCTGCTTATCTCTTTCCTGTGAAAACATAACTTACTGGAAAGCATCTATCCTAAGTAACTGAAATCTGTATTTTGTTAGCATAAAATAACTATTTTAGTATTTAAAAGTGGCTGTTTGGGTTCTTATCCTGGCTGCTCTCTTTAATTAAAAGCCTTCAAAGTGTAAATAAAATGCAAAGAAAAAGCAACACACCGGTAGTAATGATACTCAACAGCACAGGTCTTCTGTTCCTTTTGACTTAAACCCAGTTATTTTTAATATTTACCATTTAACTTCTCCTCTGGTTATTGGTAAATATAAACTATTTTCTCTCTTTTTGGTTTTGTTTTGTTTTGTTTCTTTCTTCTGTGATTTATCAGCTTCTCTTCAGAACATAGCAAAAACTCGGTGAGCAGCTCGACTTGGGGAATGGTGGTTTCTGTGTAGTTGCACTGACCATGGTGCACTGTTTGTGCAGTGAGAGGTTTTGCCAACTTCTACAGGTGTCTGTGTTATACTGGAAAGCCTTTTTTTTGTTCCAAAATGCTATTGATTGTTTCAGGGTGTATTGCATAGTATCAATCAACAGGACCCGGAAAACTATGCTATGGAGATGATGATATATTCTGTCTTTACAACACATGCTTCAATGCAGTGAGCAAACAAGAGGGAGCACAGTGGGCTTAGATTAAGTCTTATCTCTTGTTATTTTCATAATCTTAATGTTATTGCCATAGAAATGTCTGAATGTTCAGGTTTGCTTTTTTCCAACAGTGTTAGAAATTTGTTGTAAAGAAGCCATATAAATATGTTTAAGATAGATACACAATAATTGACAGCATTCAAGTAAATGTCATTTCGGCTTGTGCAAATGGATATTTAGATTGGCATATTTAAAATCAGCCTTCCTGCCTAGGTGAGCTGAGTGCCATGTGTTGTTGTTAAAAGGCAGAAATTTGTTATTAACAAAATAGTAATTACTGGCTCATAAATAACCCAGTGCAATGTGGAAATGGCACTTCTTTGCGCCTGTATGGGGGAGTGGGAGGAGATTATGACAAGTTAATATTTGTTGTAATGCTTATAAGAGTGATAAACAAAAACATTGTTAGCATTTCTTAGAGAAGCCTTGTGTTGGCTTGAGTCTTGATTTTTGGCCAGTGCAGCAGAAGCTTCCCTTTCATTTTATTATGGATGCATGTCCAGCAAAAGTCTGGTGCAACTGATTGATAGTGTTGAGGGAGTCTGTCATTTTAGACTGCTGTTGCTCCTCCCAATTCCTCCTTTTATCTCACCAGAAACGGTGGGATTTGTGCCCTGATATCTTGCTTATTAACTCATCTGCGTGTCAGTCTCTTGTGGCTGAGACACGTAGTTGTACTTGTATGCATGAACCCATGTGTAAGTCAATAGAGAGAAGTAAAATTGCACTGCTTAAGCATTGCCTATTGTAACTAGATAGATAGAGGAGCCTGTAGTCTGTGTCTTTTACTGTAGGAGGAAGACTTTTTCTGGCTGGTCTTAGAGAACTGTTTTTCCTTTGTATTTTCAAACAACAGCAAATCTGTCCTTCTGTAGAACGGGATGAAAAATGCCAGAAAGCTTTTCTCTTTCACAGTACTTCAGGGAGGTGTTGTGTAATATGCATGCTGGTGCTTTTAACTACTCTGAGCTGTGGTTATGTAGTATACACAAAAGACGGGATTGCTTGGGCCTCTGCTCACTCTTTAAAATAAAGTCAGCACAAGATACTTAATTGGTTCTCATCAGTGAAGACAGTCTCCTTCGAATGGAAATATTCCATCTACAGAAAATCACGACGTTGTGAAATGTTTCGTGTATCCCATTTTATGACTGGAGTTGATGGGAAGTTTTAGGTGTGACTGTAAAGTGCTTTGTAGGTACTTTGAATCTGAGCTTTAAACTACAGTGTCTGAAATTATTCCAAGCAATTACTTTCACCCACAAAGCTGCTTAACTGTGAGCAACAGTACATCCGAGTAGTCAAGTTTCACATCAGGCTATTGTTTTGGCAGGGTGAGTAATGATAATTTTCCTTATGCTATTTGGAAACATCAGGTAGGGGGATTTTACATGAGTATAATCTCTGTCAGCTGGCAGGGATTTCCGTACTTTTACATGCACCAGAACCAGAATATCCACAGGATATTCAAGATATTAGTGTCGTTAATGAGGGACAGAAATCAGTCTGTGCCTGTTGATACCATTTTCATGACTTGTGGGCAGAAATAAAAGAGCAAGTTGTTCATGGCTGAAGAGACTTTAATCAGCAGCCCTGATCCTCCTCCTCTCTTTACCTGCTCAGACCTTTAATGCTGTATTTCAGGCTGAGATGTCCTGATGTCTTCAAGAGGACTCTTTCAACAGTCAACTCTCTGTTCATGAATATACTGAAGTATGCAGCTGTATCTAAGAATGAGACAGCAATTTTGGGGTCTGTTTTCCTAGGAACCTGCACATCTCTGGCACAGCAAGAAGAGAAGGTGACAGGAGCAACTGGCAAAGGGAGAAAGACCTCAAAAACATGTACCTTTTTTCTCAGATGCTATTTTGGTCAATCCTTCTTTCTCTGCTTACGACTAATAGTATTGGCTATTGAGGAGGTAAGCAAGGAAGGCTGGCTTATATTTCACTCCTATTTTTCCATGGGGAATTTGAGACTCTCTGTTGACATACACGCAGCTTAACTGACAAGTAGGGAGACTGGAGCCTTTCCTGTCCCAGGTTTTCTTTGAACAGAGAAAACCCCCATGGCAGGAGGTTGGAACTGGATGATCTTAAGGTCCTTTCCAACCCAAACCATTCTGTGATTCTATGTGGTTCATCATAATTATTTTCATATTACCCTCTGTGGAAGTACATTGGAGGGAAGGAGTTTTCACTGTAGGATGGAATTTCTCAGCAGAGGGAGTTGTTTGTTCTAGCTTTGTTCCTTGGTATAGCCAGCGAATGCTTTTATATACTTGGCTGTACATCTCCTACTGAAAAGTGTGCCCTAGTATCGATGGAAATTTGGTCATGGAAAAAATGGTGTTGTGTTACTGTCATTTACTGGAGGAGCAGTGAACTATGAAAAGGGTC